GAGCTGTGGCCCTCCAGGAATTGAGTTTGAGACCACTGATTTAAAGGGATAGTAAAAAATGTAAGTAAATGGTTTTCTTTCAACCCAGGCACATTGAAAACATATACTTGTGGTGACGTTTCTGCAACACAGATATTATGTGCCTTATTGTACATTTGGCGGCAGTTAAACCGCACGTTCAATACTTGACCATAGCCACGTTTTTATTGTGTTGATACAGGTATGTATTGCAGCGTTTTTATTACATTGCTTCAAGCACGCACTGCAGCAGTTCAGAATTCAAATGTCCGGGAACCGTAGTTTGTCAGGATTCGTACCAGAGTGCTTCACCTATCAAGTGCAGCGCCGTATCGCATGAGCCACTGAGCAACCTACTGTGTCAGAAAACCCATACATATGAAGCTCTATATGTGATGCGAATGTTCAAAAGTATCAGTTTTCAAATCGTGCAGCATGTTAAAATAGTTTTGCGGTCATAACATAATATTCTGCAAGTGTGTGTGCGAAAATTAGACTTTCTTAATAGAAACTCTGGCACTGTAAATCATAATTTGTGTGAAAAGGAATGAAAGTTATAATGTTATAATATAGTTATAAAGGAATAAGAGTCAGAGTTTTACTGCCTCTAGCGTTCATTTAAACTGGAAACTGCAGTGTTTCGTATAATAGGTACAAGTTCTGCAGAAACGTAGGCAGAGGCACGTATTTCCAATGAGCCGGATAGTTTTCTTTCCTCTGCCAAACACACAAAATGCCAACAAAGCTTGATGTTATTGGGGTCCAACTTCATGGAGTCAGCGAGACTTTTGAACCCCATTGACTTTTGTTATGTAAAGAAAAAGAATATTGTTTTGGTGTTCCACAGAAGAAGGAAAATTATACGAGTGCAGAACAACATTCCAGTGGGAACTGAGAATCCCTGTGCTCTGCTCACTCCGAAGGATGGCCCTTGAAGTGGGGACTTTGGAGGGAGCAGTGCAATTGTGTCTCATAATGTTTGTTTGTTTATTATTTAACCTGGCAAGCCAATTAAGTAAAGTATCTTAAAATAATTAAGAATTATTTTCTTACTTACATTGACGGCCTGGTAATGTGGCCAACTGGAACAAGGGAGCAATGAAAGACGGCGCCATTTCCTCATTCTTTTAAACCTTTTGAAACTTTGAATTTCAACCTTCTGATTTTAAAACGACTCGTCACTCTGGGTCAAGTGAACATAAACAGTAAAATTACTTGAATTACCTTGAACTGACCATTGCATGTGCTTCATTAATGGCCTTGAGCGAGGGCACGTTAAGGGGTTATATTACACACTTTGATTTAAAATGACCCTTCCTGTGTTCCTGTGGCGCCCCCCTCCCGCAATGCCCTTCAAAGAAACCAAAATGCCATTTGGAGTTCACCATGCCCGACATGTCAGCTTCTGATGTGAGTTTGGGGCAGGACTATCAGTGGGACTGACCAGTATTGGGTGGTGGGAATGTTTGGAAACAATTACCAGTCACACAGAAATGACATAAAATTGAGCCTAAAATGCCACATAATATCTCTGCCATGACATAGGTTACAGCTTTGAGAGTTTTAAATACAAAAGATTGCAATTTTACTTTATAATCAAGTTTGATTGGTTGGGGTCATTTGTGAAACGGATGATACTGCTATCATTTTTCTCCTTAAACATGTTATTTCCAGACCTTTTGATATCTTTATACTGCTGTCAATATTTGCCAACTGTGTGGCCTTAGCTGTTTACATCCCCTTTCCTGAAGACGATTCCAACTCAACTAATCATGATTTGGTGAGTACTGTGACGTCTCTTCTGATTTCTCATTGGCTGTGTTGTGGGATTAGTTTCTGCTAATTGAGATTAGATGAGTGAATTAGAGTGGAATTACACAAACCCAAAGGCGAATTTGCAAACACTCAAAAGGTGCTCATCCATGCTGCTCATGTTTGTGTCTGCAGGTATATGAAATGTATGATGTATAATTGCTCTGTTGTTTGTGTGGAAGTAGCTTCATGGGAAAGAAAAATGATATTTTTCATATCTCAGTTGTATCTGAATATGAATTCAGACATCTTTGATCAGAATCCTTCAAGAAAATTATCTATTTAATTGAGCAATCTTTATTAATGCTATGGCGCTACACTCTTAATGTAGACGAGTGTCTTGTGTCTGTTTTTTTTTAACTCCTAAGGAATTTTGAGGAGAAACATCTGGGGCTGGTTATTGTGTAGGCTTACATACTATCACTGTAGCCTAAACTTCCATTGTTTTATACATTATTTATATATGGGAATTAACAGCATCCCACATACACTAACCACTATATAGATACAAAAAAACTTGAATATGTCCACTTTGTCTTATGCAGTAGTGGAGCATATACATTATACAGCGTACATAAAATATTGAAATAAATGCACTGATAATGCCAGTCTAGAGTTTTACAGGTTAATTTTCTGGATCATTTACTGTAGGTGATCAGAGCTGTCCATGGTGCTGAAACCATCCTGCTCACTATATATCCAACATCATTTACTCTACTTTATTTGGCATACAGTGCATTCAAAGCATACAGTGCTGTAAATAAGTATTTGGCCTTTCTGATTTTGTGTGCTTTTGCACATTTTTACACTGAATTCCATCAGAACTTTAACCAAAACCTATAAACCAGCAAAGTGAACGGAAAACTCAACTAATATACATATTAAAGAAAGTTTTTTAACACCTAGTATCTAGTAGAAAAACTGTTTCTACAATAACTGCAACCAAATGCTTCCTTTAGTTCTTTCTACAATTTTGGCCCACCCCTCAAAGAAACACTTCAGCTCAGTGACATTTGTAGTCTTTTAAACATTAGCTGTATCCGTCAGATTTAAGTTTAGGCTTTGACTTGACCATTCCAAAACTTTATTATTATTACATATATTTTTTGACTTGCTTGTATGTTTCAATCATTGTAAATCTACATGACTCAACTGTGTTTCAGCTTGAGTTTTTTGGACAGATGGTTTTGCATTCTCTCACATACTGGGCAGAGCCATACAAACAAAGACTACTTCACACCTGGAGACTGCATAATTGAAACCAGTGCCAAATGCAGTGCTTGTGGCTGCTGTAGTAGTTTGAGACTGAAGCTCACGTTTGTAGCACTGACAGTTTTTCTGTTGAATGAAGAATACTGTCTGTTTATCATTATGCCTCTTATTTGTTTCATTAGGCCTGTCATGGCATTGATCATGACTGCTAATAGTGCCACATTTGGTGCCAAAGATGACGGAGTAGCAAAGGTAGTGCCAAAGGTTGCGGGTTCGAGTCTCATACTAGCAGGGATTGTAGGTGGGGGGAGTGAATGTACAGCGCTCTCTCCCACCTTCAATACCACGACTGAGGTGCCCTTGAGCAAGGCACCGAACCCCCAACTGCTCAACGGGCGCCACAGCAAAAAATGGCTGCCCACTGCTCCGGGTGTGTGTTCACGGTTTGTGGGTGTGCACTTAGGATGGGTTAAATGCAGAGCACTAATTCCTAGTATGGGTAACCATACTCGGCCACATGTCACGTCACTTTCACTTTCACTTTCATTTTCATTCGCAAACACTGAAACACAGTGTTCTCATCTCCATCCCCAACCATGCAAGGCTAGGTACTGGATCTATTAACCACAAGGTCTCTCCAACTGCCTGTTCTGTTGCATCTAGCCTGCTTGATCACCAGTGAAGCACTTGATGAACCTGCATACGGTCACATCACCAGCCCTTATCTCACATCACCACAAACTTGATTCAGTGTAGCACCAGAAACAGCTGTTTCCTGCCAGTTGCTTTTCCATTTCGCGTTGGCTTGTACATATAACAGGGTTACATGTTACATATAACAGGGTTACCTGCCAGTTGGAGCGATTATCAAACTGCAAGGGCTGCAGTTTAACCACAGGAAATATATAGTAGGGCTGCCCCCTAATAGTTGACTAATCGTTAAATTTGATTAGTCGCTTAGTCACATAAAAAAAAAATCCACATGCGAAGTCACTCAGTTCGTGACGGACAGATCGTTAATGACTAGTCTAGGGTAATACAGTAGCCTACATCAGGCAGGACATCCAAACGCTCGGCTATCATTCATCAACCTCAAATATGGCTTATCATCTGAAATATGTAAGTATTAGCAACTTTACATGGCCGCTCAATCTAATGTTAACCTAGAGAAATGTGTGCTATAGTGTCACTATAGCGCACATTTCTCTAGGTTAACATTAGACACTATAATAGTGTCTGTGTGGAGTGTGGAATTTGAACAGCAGTGCGCACTCACTGCAGGACAGATGGAGGCGCCGGTGCACTCACTTGCTCTTAAAATAGGCTACTCCGTCATTTTTGGTCATACAGATAAGAGTAATATATCTTTCAAATCTGTAAAGACTCTACGTTTATTTGTGCAAACTCACAATAACAACAAAACGTGCTTTTGTAAAATAATGAAAGCAAACAGGATGCGCTTTCAGCCGTCTCGGTCTGTGAACTTGAGCGCGAAACTCCGTGTATATCTTCGCCTTACAGAAATAAAAAAAAAAATATATAGAGAGTGAAATGTCTACTTTCAAATGAACCAATTCAAATGGAAAACAAATATTATCAGATTATGTAATCTGTATGAAACATGAATACAGGCGCATCACTACTGCGGAGATGACGAGTCAGTGTCGCTGAGTTCATCACTTAAACCGAAAACAAAGAAAGCACTAGTTTATCACATTATTAAAATGTTAATGCAGTCTCCTTACTGTTTTTCACTGACACATTCATAATCATTAGGCTACTTCTGCCGGTGCGCTGTGGCAAGCTTTATGCGTGTGCTTGAGCGCTTATTAGGCTATGTAGGCAATTAAAGGTTCATTATAATGATTTAAATAGTTTATTAATAAATCTAAAAAAAAAATAAAAAATCTTAAAATGAACAACTACTAGTTGACCAAAAAAATCCTTAGTCGAGGGCAGCCCTAATATATAGTCTGACAAGCTGTGAGTTTCAGAGTGAAGCACGCCACTGAAGCATGAGCCAGTGTTTTCAGCATCTCACAGCAGCTTAGTTTGCAGTAAATGCTGCTTCACATAAACTTTAGGTTACTCATGTAACCCCGGTTCTCTGATAACAGGAGTGAGGTATCTCACTATGGGAATCGCCTCGGGCGTGACCAATCCTAGAAGCACCAATTACACCACGTCTGTCAGTTGACAGTCCAATCATGACAGTGATGCGGGAGTCCCGCCTCCCTCATATATATTGCTGCAAGTGGTCCCTACTTCATTCTCAGCATATCTCTTCTCCTTGCTGCTGCAAGGAGGGAAGTGTGGTGAGATACCTCACTCATGTTATCAGAAGTGATAAAACAAACCTAAAGTTTGTGTGAAGCAGCATTTACTGCAATCTAAGCTGCTGTGAGATGCTAAAGTTCTCTTTCAAACATTTGTTCGGTATCTCACTATGGGTAACTCCCGGTAACTCCCGTATTGCAGATATGCTGTCCGAAGCAGGCATGTCAACCAACTCAGTGATGTGCGATAACATAATAACGCAAGCCCTCCACTATTCCCAGAATAGAACAGAGACATGTGAAAAATAAAAACAACTTCTTTACGAGTGTTTTTTTTAAATATATGCTTAGGACGGAATGCGCCAATGAAGGCTCTGTAGCGTCCAACCTATAAAATCTGACAAAAGTGTGTGGCAAAGCCCAGCTCGCCGCCACACAAATGTCTTGAATTGAAACACCCTTAAACAATGCCCATGAGGTGGCTAACCTTCTGGTACTATGAGCCCTCAGCCCCTCTGGAGGACTTAGACCCATACTATTATAACCCAATATAATAGCTTCCACCACCCAGTGGGACAGGCGCTGACGAGAAATAGGTATACCCTTATGAGAATTAGCCCATGAAACAAATAGCTGATTACTCCTTCTTAATCCCTTCATCCTGTCCACATAATGACGCAACGCACGGACAGGGCACAAGCAATGAAGCTGCTCTTCTTCCGATGAGGAAAAAGGCTACGGATGAAAAACTAGTAAATCCACCTGTCTACAGGCGAAAGCTGACTCACTCACAAATGCTGGATACATCTTGAGAGTTACTCGCGAGAAATCCATAGCAAACAGCATACAGGAGTTATGAACCGACAAAGCATGAAGTTCACTAACTCGTTTCGCGGTCGAAAGAGCCAATAACAAAGCAACCTTTAGCGAAAGGAACTTTAAATCAATATTGTCTATCGGCTCAAAAGGAGGCTGAGAGAGTGCGTTAAGGACAACTGACAGATCCCACGGCAGAATCAGTGGCTTTGAAACCCTGTTCAGACGCCGCGCACCTCTCATAAACCTGCACACAAGCGGGTACTGACCTATTGTATTTCTGTCAATCCCCCATGGTATGCAGAAATTGCAGCAAGATAAACCTTAACAGTAGAGAAGGCTCTGCCCTTATCTAAAAGTTCTTGCAGAAAACATAATACCTCTGCCACTGAACAGTGAAAGGAACAATTTGCCTTTGTGCGCACCAAAGCTCAAACACATTCCATTTCCTATCATATGCAGAGCGCATCGAAGCCGCTCTCGCATTTTGAATAATTTCAATCACCCTCGGAGGCAAACCCGTAACACTTAAATTCAACCTCTCACGGGTCAGGCCCAAAGAGCCACTTTGTCCGGTGCCGGGTGAAAAATCTATCCGCGCGCTTGTGAGAGGAGCAGGGCCATTTCTAGCCATTTTGATGCCCTAGGCGAAATCCCTATTAGC